TATAACTAAATATTTATGTGTAACTCTGTGTTACTATGAAACTTGTGTAAACTTAACAGTCTTCAAGGATACATGTTAAAGATAGTCAAGCCCCCTTATCATAGCAGAGGCAAGTTCAATAGAGTTTTGTATGATTTTTTTAAGAAGAAAAAAGATTCTTGTTACACTTTCACAGATCAAAGCATAGTCTGCGGGAATGTAGATTTTAAGGATGACTAATTTGGAACACCTCCCTGCCCCACATCCTGCTGTGCTACTTCATCATGGCAGGGGGGCCGTTCCTGGGAAGGATGAGTGAAGTACACCAAGAGTATATGCCAAGAATATATAATCCCAGCAGGATCAGCCAAGGCATGAGGTCATCCCAGCAGCACAGCTAAAGCAAGCAGGCACCTATATTGGGCTTCAGCAATATAGGAACATGCTGGAGGCAGATGATCACTTCAGTGACAATGGCAAAGGCATCATTTCATACTGCATGGGAACAGCCAATGGTGAAATGCTCCTATATTTTTATCAAGAAAACTCCTTTGTCAGTCTGGAGCCAATCTGTTTCACCCTGTTCTCTCTGTACTGTGGCTTGCTGACCTGTTTATGGGTTTGGCATGAGGACAATGTGATGTGCTGAGATTCCAGATTCACAAAGGGGTGAAACACGGCCGTATACTCTCCCTTATTTATTCAACCTATATACTGAATATATATTAAGAGAAGCAGGATTGGAAGAAGATGAACATGGTTTTAAAATTGGAGGAAGAAACTTCATTAATTTGTGCTATGCTGATGACACGACTCTGATAGCCAAAAATACAAAGGATCTGCAAGAGTAATAAAAGTCAAGAAGGGCAGTGAAAAAATGGTACTAAAATTAAAGAAAACCAAACTAATGACAAAAGGTAGAACAACCAGAATTGACAATGAAGATATTGAGGGGGTAGATAACTTCTGCCGTTTTGGATCAATTATCAACAGGAACAAGCAGTCCAGAAACATGCTGCAAACTAGCACTTGGTAGAGTATGAAAGCCTTGAAAAGAAATATATTCAGATGTTGTGATGTGTCTATGCCTACAAAGATCAGAATACTGCAGGGAATTTTATTCCCTGTGACACTCTATGGAAATAAAAGTTGAATTTTGAAGAAGCAGGACTAGAAAAAGTACCAATGCTTCTGAAATCTGGGTGTTGGAGTAAACTTGTGAGAATAACATGGACAGCCAAGAAAACAAACAAATGGATCATCAAACAAGTCAACCCAGTGTTCTCATTTGAAGTACAAATTACCAGGCTCAAATTATCCTACTTTGGACACATTATGTGAAGATCTAGCTCTCTGGAGAAGGCTGTAATGCTGGGAAAGAGAAGAAGAGGACAGCCAGCAGCAAGGAGGACATACTCAGTTATAGCGATGGGCATTATTGGAAGATCTAAAAGATTAGGTTATGGACAGATTGTCATGGAAAAAAATCTACATGGTCATTAAGAGTCTACACTGACTTGATGGCACATAATCAATCAAAGTTTAGGAGAAGAATAGATGTTTACTATACAGTATAAATACAAGCTGAACACTCCCTTTGGCATGTTCTCTTAAGCAGAACACCTTGCCGTATGTCAATAAACTGCAGTAAGCCTCATTTATCCTGCTGTCTTCTAGTTTTAACTTCCATAATACCAAGCACAATATCCTGACTCTTAGATGCACACATGAATGTCTAATCTAAGTAGGTTTTGCTACCATACTTTTTCATGGAGTTGGCCATTAAAATAGAATTATTCGCTGTACAGAATATCTGCAGTTCAGTTTAAAAACTGTAAAACAGGGATGGGAAACCTATTGGTGAACAAAAGACAGCTTAACAAGTGTTCACAAAAGCCCACAAAGTACGTGGGACCACATCACACATATGGAGGATAATGGGTATGGAGGATTTTAATTTTTTAAAAATTGAGATATACCTATCTTGGGGTCTACATTGCAGTCTTTCAGTATCCACCTTGAAATGGTGGGAAATTGTGCCATCATAGCCAGAAGAGTCTGAGGTCCACAGGCTCCCCATTCCTGCTTTAAGGAATTACTGTTTGTAGGATGTCTTACCCATCCATAATCATGGCATCCAAAGTTGTTTCTCCATGTTCATCTGGACTTC